TACATTCTGAACTCATTTGAGTGAATTTTTATGTATGTGTAAAATAGTGGTCCAGTGTCAATCATTTGCATGTAGCTGTTCAGTTTTTCCAGCACCATTTATTGAAGAGACTGTCTTGACTCTATTGTATGCTCTTGCCTCCTTTGTCAAATATTAATTCAACATAATGGCTTGGGTTGATTTCTGGGTTCTCTGTTCTATTCCATTAGTCTATATGTCTGTTCTTGTGACAGTACCAGGCAGTTTTGAGAACAGTGGCTTTGTAATACAGCTTGGCATCTGGTATTGTGATCCCTCCGACTTTGTTCTTTTTTCTCAGGATTGCTGCAGCTATTCAGGATCTTTTTTTTATTTTATATGAATTTTTGAAGAGTTAGTTCTAGTTCTGTGAAGTATGCCATTGGTATTTTAATGGGGATTGCATTGAATCTATTGATTGCTTTGGGTAGTATGGACATTTTAATGATGTTGAGTCTACCAATCCATGAACACAGTATATTCTTCCATTTGTTTATGTCTTCCTCTATCTCTTTTTTCAATGTCCCGTAGATTTCTGAATACAGGTCTTTTATTTTTTTAAAAAATATGTCTTTATTGATTAGAGAGAGGAAGGGAGAAGGGAGAGAGAGAGATAGAAACATCAATGATGAGAGAGAATCATTGATTGGCTGCCTCTTGCATGTTCCCTACTGGGGGTCAAGTCCGCAACATGGGCATGTGCCCTTGACTGGAATTGAACCCAGAATCCTTCAGTCCACAGGCTGACACTCTATTCACTGAGCCAAACCAGCTAGGGCTGAGTACAGGTCTTTTACCTCCTTAGAGCAATAAAGTATTTTTAAATTAAGGTATGTACATTGTTTTCTTAGCCATAATGCTTTTGCACACTTAATACACTACAATATAATATAAACATAACTTGTTTGTTGTTTTTAATCTTCACCCGAGGATATTTTTCCACTGATTTTTAAAAAAATACATTTTTAGATTTCAGAGAAGAAGGAAGAGGGAGAGAGAGATAGAAACATCAATGATGAGAGAGAATCATTGACTGGCTGCCTCCTGCACGCCCCCCTCCCCCGCCCCCGGGAATCGAGCCTGCAATCCAGGCATATGCTCTGAGCTGGAATGGAATATGATCTTCTGGTTCAAAGGTCAACACTCAACCACTGAGCTACATTAGCCAGGCTTTTCCATTGATTTTTAGAGAGAGGGGAAGGAAGAGAAGGAGGGAGGGAGAGAGATACATCAATTGGTTGCCACTCAATCTAAATCAAACATGCCACCCAGATATGTGTCCTTGACCCGGAATCAAACCTGCTAACCACTGAGCAACACTTGCTAGGGCAAGGTGAAACAGTTTTAAGCATACATTCATAGTAATAAAAACCATTAAAATATATAATGGACTCATTAACACAAAATTCAGAACAGTGGTGACTTCTGTAGGGGAAGGAGAGAAGGATATATTTAGAAGGGGCATACTTGGGCTATAGATTTTTTAAAAAAATAACTTGTGTACATTATATATCAGTGTTTTACTCTATAGATGGGATTTCTTGCCTTTGCTCTGTGCTATACCAAAAAGAAAGGTGTGGAGGTGCTAGCCTAACTCAGTAGGGGAGCTCTTTCTTATTCAGAACCAATGGAATTAAAGAAAGCTAAAAATCAAGCTACAAGAAGAGAGAAAGAGACTGATAAATCTCAGAAGAAGGTAAGGTTGGGTCAGAGGGAAATTTCAAAAAATGAGACAAAGTTTTATACACACACACACACACACACACACACACACACACACACTGTATATGGGTATACATGAAGGGAAAATATAGAAACATGGACTGAAAGGAATCACCCCGAATTCATGATAATAGATTTCTCTGCATTGGGAGATGGGAATGGGACTAGGAGGAAAACAAGAGATAAACCTTGTATGGTTCTATTTTAAATTAAAAGTATTAACACATGGCCTGCCGGTGTGGCTCAGTAGTTGAGTCTCAACCCAGGAACCAAGAGGTCACAGGTTCAATTCCCAGTCAGGGCACATGCCCAGGTTGTGGGTTCAGTTCCCAGTGTGGGGCGTGGAAAGCAGCCAAACAATGATGTTCCTCTCTCATTGATGTTTTTCTCTATAGCTCTCTCTCTAAAAATCAATAAAAACATTTTTAAAATAAGAATGTAGAAGGCATATTAAAAAATGTTAACACATTAATTTTGGGTGATGAGTACATGGGTATTTGTTATATTAGACTCCATAGTTTTCTATATTTTTGAAATATGAAAAAAACGTTATTGATGACTACCTATTACAATTTAAAATATTCATATTTTTTATTCTACTTCTAAGATTTTATCTACAGATATTTATAAGTACACAGATATATACTATATAAATAAAATATATGCTCACTGCAACCTTGTTTGTAATAGCAAAGTATTGAGATTAACCCAAAATTTCCATCAATAGTACTGGTTATATGTAATTCCACACATGCCACACCGGGGTCGGAATTAAGCCTATAATCAAGGTACATGCCTTTGACCAGAATTGAACCCGCAACCCTTCAGTCCCTGGGCCAATGCTCTAACTACTGAGAAAACTGACTAGGGCTGGTTGCATATTTATATTAAATACATATAAATATTAAATGCTTATATCAAAACATACATGTTAAATACATATTTATATTAAGACACACATATGTAAATACATATTTATATTAGAATATACATTTGTGTGCACATGTGTCTATATACACTCAAAACATCTCTGAAAAAAAAAACACAAGGAATCAGTTAAAGGACAGAGGTAGAAGGGAGATTTACCCTGCACTATTTCATTTACATCTTTTAATTTTATACCATATATTTTCTATTGCCTATTTTAAAAATTAATTTTAAAAACTATATATAGCATAATACACATATTCTGTAATACATAATACATAGCAATGTATAGCATAATTGTATTTGTGAAAGGTGAAATCTACATATGCCTAAAAAAAATCTTGTAGACTATACTAATTTAATAGTGCTTAAATCTGGAAAACAGAATTAGGGGCCTTTTACTTTTTCCATGATTTACTTTCATAATGTTGAAATTTTTCACAATGAGTATATATTACTTGCATGATGAAAAATAATTTTAAAAAACTTTTGCAGCCCGAGCTGGTTTGGCACAGTAGATAGAGCTTCGGCCTGTGGACTGAAGAGTCCTAGGTTAATTCCGGTCAAGAGCATATGCCTGGGTTTGGGCTCAATTCCCAGTGTGGGGCATGCAGCAGGCAGCTGATCAATGATTCTCTCTCATCACTGATGTTTCTATCTCTCTCTCCCTCTCCTTTCCTCCCTGAAATCAATAAAAATATATATGTATTTTTAAAAACTTCTGCAATAAATAAATATCAATCTTCTTTATCTTTGGCTAAATGAAATGCTTACATTTTGATTCCCTATTAAAGTTTGTTTTAGGAACACAGTTTTTCTTTCCTATGTTGAAGTAAGGATTTTTTAAAATTATTTTTTAATTTTAAAAAAATGACAAACACTTAGAGTTTTTTCTTAGCAAAACATTTTTTTATAGCCAGAAAGATAATCTACCAGATATTCTTCTCTACTTATTAAAAACTGTTTTAACATTTCTTCCTAAAGAGTCTTCTTGTATAATCATTTGTTCCTAAGTAAAATTGAATATTAAAAGTATTTTCATTGAAAAGGGCTAGGAGTTAAGGTTTTCTGGTCATGTTTCAAATATGCTGAATATTTTTTTGACTTGCATTTTAAAACAAGATTTTATAGGCTGGGAGCAAATATGGAGAGTTGCTAGTTCAAAGGAGTATTTTATTTCTCTGTCTTAAGAAATATAATTATAGCCCTAGCCAGTTTGGCTCAGTGGATAGAGCATCAGCCTGCGGACTAAAGGGTCCCAGGTTCGATTCTGGTCAAGGGCACATGCTTGGACTGTGGGCTCGATCCCCAGTGGGGGGCGTGCAGGAGGCAGCCAATCAATGGTTCAATGGTTCTTTCTCATCATTGATGTTTCTATCTCTCTCTCCCACTTCCTTCCTCTCTGAAACCAACATACACACACACACACACACGCACACACACACACACACACACACGAGGGGCCCGGTGCACGAAATTCGTGCACTGGGTGTCGGGAGGGGGGGGGGTGTGTCCCTCAGCCCAGCCTGCCCCCTCTCACATACTGGGAGCCCT